AAAAAAAAAAGAAATTATAATAACAAGCCCGGATCAGGCTCACTTTTCTACACAAGCTTATATAAATTGAGGCTCAGACTAAAATTGGCTCAGGTTTGGTTCATGCAGTCCAAAATCAGATAAGGCTGCCCAGCCCAGCACATTTACAGCTCCAGATATAAATCTAATATTTATGAGATGAGAGATGCCAAGAAATGCTAGTAAGCACTATCAAACAAGAAAAACTAGAGAAAATTTATTTTCCACGGTGAATCAAATCAACAAAAATAGAATATGCAATCATTTGCACCCAAAAGCCACCACATATGGAGTAATGCTTTGAATTCATAACAGAAACAATAGCATCTATTTTCTTGAGATATTACCTCTAGCTGAGGTAAAGTGCATGCTTCTCCATCAACGAGCATTCCGTCTGTGGCACGTAGAAGAAGATCTGAAGCACTTGCCAAAATTACCAGAGACTCTGGGTTATCATGATTCCTTATTAACTCCACAATTAATTTTACAATTCTCTGATTAATTCGCCACATCTTTTGACCTTGTTCATCATCTCTAGCGATCCAAGGCTGCAACTCCCTCTCCGCCTGACAAGAATGCACATCCACTAAAAGTGAATAAACAGATGAAATGGTTGAAAAAAGGGAAATTAATAGGACCAGATTTTGTGACAACTTCAAAATTCTTAAGCTGAACAAAATTTTGACCTGAAGAACAATTGCGGTTGATGCTTTTGCTGGTGAAGCTGATACTACATTGCATAGGGCATCAACTACCTACATACAACAAGAGTAGTGATCAATCATACATACCATGAAACAGCAAAAAACATATAATACATTGTACATTAGATTGAGGGGATTGCACATTGTGAAATGTAACATACTACCACTGGTAGTCTATTCATTGATTCTATTCTCATGAAAATTACAAGAAAATTTTCAACCTTCCTTAACAAATAATTATTTTTCATTATCATAATTTCCATGCTCGATAGTTGTTAAGGTGTCTAGGCAATTCTAGGCAATTCTAGGCAATAGTGGGGCACCTAGGCAATAAGAATTTCATAAAGTTTTATATAAAATTCAGCATGTATATTAATTGAAAATTTAACAAATTTCTTTCTCAAAACAGAGCAATCAACATATCTAGGATAATAGTACTTCAATACTTCCATAAATGATACTGATATAATAAGTATTTAATAGAGCAATTTCATATCAAATTATCAACTAGAGAAGGTTATATTTAATGTAACAGAGAGAGAGTAGAAAAATCCCCCCCCCAAAAAAAAGAAAGTAACTTCTTTATATTTCTACTTTTTTTCCTTTTCTCTTCTCAAAACCTTTGGATCTTTTAAATTTCAATAGTGAAACTTTAAAGAAAAGTATAAGCGATACATTTAATAAGATGGGCGCCTAGGCAGGTACCTAGTCACTAGATGGGTGGCTAATTGCTATAAAAAAGGCGTTTAGGTGAGACACCCGGCCAAGGGCACCTAGTCGCCTATTTGATGCGTAGGCATCTAGGTGATGCTTTGACAACTATACATTGCTCTTAGTTATTGTTGATCAACACTACAAGACTTGGTCATGTGATGTGACCTTTATATTACTCATGACAAAAAAAGATACACTAAAATGCAAACATGAGGTATGAAACAGATGCAAAGATTCTTTTTTTTGTATAAACAAATATAGTAAATTTAAAAAGTTCCATGAAATTTATTATAAACATAAAAGGATTTTATTAAAATGGTAAAAAGAGAATATACAATAAGAGAAAAGTTCCATGAGATTCTACTAGGGATGAGTTGCTAGCTGCTGTACAAGGAATTCAGATTGCAAATCAACTTGGTATGAATGGTCTGATTATAGAGGGATATTCTAAGGTGGTGGTGGGGAGGATGCTGGATCCGGATTTTGTTACTTGGCACCTTAGGGAGCTACTAAAGAAAGTCAAGTGGCTAACAAGGAATGCGACAACTAGAACACAATAGGTGAGCAGGTCGACTAATGCAATGGTAGATTCCTTAGCTAAATAAGGGGCTTCTAGGGAAATTCTTGATTGGGCTGTGTTGTAATTTCCAGTTTTGAGATGTAATTGCATAAGGGTGTGGCTGCACCTCGCGCTCCCATCAGGATGTTTGTATCAATTTCTATCTTTTGATAATAAAATATCTTCTTCAATTATCAAAACAAAAAGAATATACAATAAGAGAACAAGGTGTCATTGAACACCAGAAAAGACAAACACACACATGCACAAGTACAAAGAGCAAATAACCAGACACTTTTGCATACTGTTAGAATTGTTAGAATTAGTTGACAAAGGCATTTTTCTCTTTTACTTGTTATTTTCTCTCTTATATACTTATCTAAGGGCATTTTTGTTATTTGAGCTTTAGTAAAATGTTAATACAAGCTGGGTTGACAGCAAGGAAAGTTGGGTAAGATTTCTCCTTGCTCGTCTTCCCTCTTTTATTCTCCTTCTCTTCTCTTTCTCTCCCTACCTTCTTCCTTTTCTTCTTTTTCTCTCTTTCTTCCACTTTACCTTTCTAAGTTGGAACATGGTATCAGAGCATTGAGGTCAACTCTATTGTTCACGGCACTGTTCACGACTCAAATTTTTGTGCCCTAGGAACAGAGAATATTCTCTATTCTCTGTTGGAAAGGAAAAGGACTCAAGGGACTGATTGCTCCCTTGGAAAAGAGGCTTTAATGCCTCAAGTTGCAGTTTTGTGTGAGTTGGTGGTGCTTTTCTAAAGGCCCTCTATTTGGCAGTTCGATGAGGGCAGCCTTGTGATGTCTCAAGTTGTGAGGTAAGTGCTCCTCAATTTATGGTGATTTTGTGGTGGTTTGTTGTAACATCTTGTGGTAAGTGTGTGATCATTTCCTAGTGTTTCTAAAGTAGAAGGCTGGTGATTCTTGGTGTTCTTCCTAAAGAAAAAGTGTGCTACAGTAAGTGCATACCATCTATTTGACAGTTTGACTAGGTGATACACCAGTGATCTCATATTCATGGCTTCATCAAGTAGTAACACCAAGCCTACAGTAGTTGTGCAATATGATCTCATGACTTCTCAATAAACTATGGTGAAACTTATGGTACTAATTATATACCATGGGCCAAGTCGATTGAAGTATCTCTCATTGCAAGAGGCAAGTTGAAGTACATCAAGGAGGGTCCATTGAAAAGTGAATCAGAAGGGTGCAATGAACGAGTAAAAGAGAATGCTCAAATTATGACATCTCTTTGGAATAGTATGGAGAATCATATTAGTGTGAACCTTATGTTTTTGGACACGGCCAAGGAGATCTGGAGCCATGCCAAGCAATTGTATTCTGGACAAGACTGTCACAAGAATTTACCGGTTATACCAAGACTATTTTTCTCTTCAACAAGGGTATAAAAGTGTTGAAGAATACTATGCTTCTCCTTAAAAAGCTTAAGGAATGAACTTAATGTTTATCAACCCCTATCCACTAATTTGAAGACTCAACAAGAACAAAGAGAACATCTAGATGTGGCAAGGTTTTTATTTAGGTTGAGGTCTGAATTTAAACTAGTGCAGGTCCAAATCGTAGGTAGCTGTGATCTTCCATCCTTGTCCAAGGTTTTCTCCCCCATAAGGAGAGCCTCAAATCCACATAGTGGTCATCGCCCACCTTCAGAGAGATCATCCATAGTGGTTTCAAGAGGAGGTTTCCTTGGTAGAAATATGCATGGTAGAGGTGAAGGTAGTGTAGGGGGTTTTGACTATTCAAGAATGACCTGGATTTACTAACTGAAGGATCATTCAAAATTGTTCTCTATTTTTTTTATACTTTCGTGCTGAGATAAGGAATTGGCTTGGTGTATGCATTAAAGTGTTTCATTCTAGTAATGCCAAAGAATACTTTCATAATAATTTTCAGTCTTATTTTGATTCTCACAGTATTATCAATCCTCCTGTTCACACACTCCTCAGCAGAATGGTGTGTTCGAGAGGAAAAATCAGCATGTGATTGAAACTGCTTGGGCTTGTTGATTCAAATATCGGTCCCTAAAATCTATTGGAGTGACATAGTTCTCACCTCTTGTTTTCTCATAAACCATATGTCCTCTTCAGTCCTAGATGGTGAGTCAACTTTCTCTATCTTGTTTCCTTCTACTTCCCCTTTCTCCCTTCCTCCTCGTGTGTTTGGTTGTGTGTGTTTTGTTCACAAATGGGGTCCAAGCCATGATAAACTTAACTCCAGAGTTATTAAATGTGTTTTCCTTGGTTACTCTCGTACTCAAAAAGGTTCCAAGTGCTATGATCTTGTTCTATGGAAAGCTTTTATTGCTCCAAATGTTACCTTTTTTAGAGAGTTTACCCTATTTCTCTAGACGTGAGCTTGCTCCTTCTATTCCTCTTTCCTCTGACGCTCCTTCTATTCCTCTTTCCTCTTTCCTCTTCTATCATATATTCACATAGTGTACTCTAAACACGATCAACAACCAGAATCGTCACCAACAATTGATCTAGATTTAGCTTCTCACCTGCCACCAGAGTCTTTTCCATTAAAAAATTCACCACTCTAAGATCTTCATCTACCTATTGCTCTTTGTAAGGGTAAGTATGCTTGCACAGATCACCCCCTTTCTCACTTATCTCCTTCACATCAACGGTTCATTTCCCCTCTATCAATTTGTTTCCTACCTTGTTCTCTACAAGAAGCCCTCTCATCTCTTCAATCCAATAATACTTGGGACCTCACTTCCTTACCACTTGGGAAGCAGGTCGTTGGTTGTCGATGGATCTCACCAAGATGGCATTATTGAGTGGTTCAAAGCTTGACTTATTGCTAAGGGATGTACTCATACCTATGAGGTGGACTATTTAGAAATCTTCTCTCTTGTGGCTAAAATAGATTCTATATGAGTGCTCATCTCTTTAGCTGCCCACTTTGATTGGCCCCCATTCAACTTGATGTTAAAAATTAAAATTGCTTTCCTCTATGGTGATCTTCAAGAGGAGGTGTATATGGAGCAACCTCTTGGGGATGTTGTTCAGGGGGAGTTAGGGAAGGTGTGTCAATTGAAGAAGACTAGCTATGGGATGAAACAGTCACCACGAGCAAGGCTTAGTCGTTTTAGTAGTGTGGTGCAAGATTTTGGCTTGAAACAATGTAGTGTAAATCATCTTGTGTTTAGTAGGGACTCTTCATTTAAGAATATCATTTTAGCAGTGTATGTTGATGATATTGTTCTCATTGGCAATGATACACATGGAATTAATGAGTTGAAACAGTTCCTACAACACCACTTTCAATCTAAAGATCTAGGAACCTTGAAGTACTTTTTTGGAACTGAGGTATCTCAATCAAAGTGGGGAATCTCTTGTCCCAACGAAAGTATGTTTTGGATATGTTGGATGAAATTGGGTTGCTAGGATCCAAGCTAGTTGGAACTCCTATGGATCCCAATGTGAAGATGGTTGGTAGTTAGGGGGAGTGATTAGAAGACTTTGCAAGGTATCGAAGACTGGTAGGAAAGCTGATCTATCTTACCATCACTAGGCCTGACATCTCCTTTAATGTTGGAGTCCTTAGTCAATTCATGCAGAATCCAATAACTGCTCATTGGGATGGTGTTATAAGGGTGTTGAAGTATTAAAAGGGTGCTCTTGGTCGAGGGATTTTGAACAAGAAAGGGGGAGAGATGCTTCAACCAAACTACCTCACAGCATTACTCCTAACAACCACACTTTGTTTCTTGCTCTTCTAGGTAATGAAATTTCCACACAAGAAGG